GAAGACAACGCACTCTATAAAGCCACGACCTAACTTGATGCCAAACCTCTGTTGTGTAGATAGTCCCCCTAGTGAGAATGTTACGTAATGCAGCCCGTGAAATAAGGATGCCCAATGCATCCACAAGAAAACCAAAGATTCACAATCAGGCAATCGCCAGCGGCAGTCCCTTGAGAGATGAAATGCAGAAGCAAAGTGGAACTGAAACTCTTGATGAAAATCGTAGTGGTTGGGGGGATTTTGAAGTTTCGGTTATTGGAACCATTCTGAAAGCCGAAGTTTGTCTATGCTGAAACGCCTAGAAACGTCTCTTTTATAGTGAATCCGTAATCCGGTGGACATCCGTTTATCACTCCTAGCCAATAGCAGTAGTAGTTGTATGAGCGAATGCTCGAAGGAGTTGACGGACCTGCTCGTATTCCCGGCCACAACAGAGCTTTTGGAAGGAGTCATGGTGATTACCACGTGAATGTACTCCTAGTACAAAAATATGCATGTTAAAACTACTCATGTCCAACAAGACAAATTTTCTCCCGGTTATCTTGCGTTTTCATGCCTCATCTCTTATAGCAAACCATGTTCATTCGAAGCAAGCAACCTGTTACCTAAGCTAGAATTAAACAGATCTACGTTAATACCTCGCTCCCGACTATTTGAAAGCTCACGCATGTTACTTCGAAGACTTCATAGATCGAAGCTCACCTGAGCGGACAGAAAATAACAAATGAATAAAACACTGAAATAGAGTGATCATTATCGTCATCATGGGACAGCGTAACATCAATGTTCAGCACAAATGCTTCGTTGCCCTAAAGCCATAAGAGAAAAAAGTGGATGAAAAAGGGACTTAGGACCAAACTAACACAATAATTCCGAGGTGCCTAAACCTTCAAACACTCATTCAGGCAATCTGGTTGGAAACCGACGCCAAGAACACCACTGACATCGGTTGGTAGCTACCTCCAGTAGCGCCTCTGACCAAGCGCGGTGGGGATCACGAAAGCCTAATCTTGGAAGGAGAGTTGCGTCGATATCGTAATCGCTTCTATACCCTTCTGCTTCCGCCGCTCCGAGCTGGGCACGGGAAACGGTATTCTCTTCCACAAGCGATGGCTCGGCATGCCTAACACAGGGCATAAGGAACGCAGCTTGCGCTGCCGGACACATTCTTCGGTGGAGGTCCCCGTTGCACAACCGAACACTCACATTCTAATTGTCTTGTTGTGGATTCGGCAACAGCAATCCAAACGAGCTATGATCCTGAGACGGCGGTTGTCGAATACCTGAAGACGTCTAGGTTCTGCTGCTCGAACAGGCCAAGTCTCCCACCCATTGGACCAAACAGTCTGACACACACATCCCTTGTGGTTCAGGGATATCCCTTGAGGTTCAGGGACATACCACTTTGAGTCAGGGGTCTCGGACTATCAAACGCGACTGAGGCTTTGCAGATTAGTGCAATGCCCTCATCTGTCCCCATTGGACCAAACAGTCTGACACACACATCCCTTGTGGTTCAGGGATATACAACTTCGAGTCACGGGTCTCGGACTAGCAAACGCGGCTGAGGCCTTGCAGATTAGTGCAATGCCCTCATCTGTCACACTACAGTCAAAACAGTCAGGATCCCCACCTCTACAGCCCATGCCATCAGTGGGATTGCGAGTTCGTTCCTAGAGGGGCGGTGTCGCTCGTAAGTAAAGGCCATCAACCTTATGATCTATGGAAAAAGATTAGAGAACCCGCTGTATTTCAGGGACCCTGTAGCAGCCTGATATGACCTAAGTCAGCGATGGAAGCCAACACACCTTAATTCCGATCCTTTACCGGATACTGGTCTTCGAACCATCTGACTGCAGGTCCGCTGCAGCCACCAAATCCTACTAGGCTGCACGACAGTGGTGATCAAATGTCTTCCAACACAATACAGTTTTTCAGCAAAGATTTCGCTTTTTTCAGTGAAGCCAGTCGAGGCGCTGTACAGCAGTTTCATCCTAATTGGGGATCCTCAGCCGTGCGCATCTAGCGAGAAGCAGTCCATAATCCAAGACCTTCCAGTCAGTGGCTAAACACTTGAACATTTGGCCACGAGTAGTTGATCAGCAGTGTGATTCGCCCCTAAGAGCCATTCCAGTTTACAAGTGTATCTGTCCTCGTACAGCCATAGTCTACTACGGATACCATCTTAGAATGTGCGTGTCACAGAATATCGGCAATATGACCTTGGAATTAATATAGCCTGGGATGATGGCTGATTTTTATGGTAATTTTGGCACATTGATTTTCAGTCACTCGTCTGTATCGATTTTAGACTGCAACGTTGATTCAGCTCGTCTCATTGGAGATTCCCATGATGACGCCATCAAAAGCGTGAACAAAACGATCAGTGAAACAGAATTTACGGGCACTATTTAGGCTACCAAAACAGAGGTTCGAGATCAAATGTGCTCTGCAAGTGAACTATTTTAATAACAGGATGTGAACTAATTAGGGGCAAATTAAGATTTTGTTTCGAAACAGGCATTTCTGAAAGCTTTCGAAACATTAATTCACTCAATGCTTCCACGACATGGTAAACTGAGTTTGGATCCTTTCTAGCAAGAGGGGCCAAAAAGCCCTCCCTTCCTAGGAGCCTTGCTTCTAAAGGGGTTACCATCCTTCATGCTCACCAGGTGTGATTGATACATCTTCGTATTTATAAACAACTCGGTCACGATTACCAATAGGTGGTCTTTAGAGTGTTCTAAGGACCACTTTGGAGATGGTGAGATGCCTTATTCCGAAAAGATGAATGTGGCCTAAATACTTCTGATTACAGATTAAGTGGCACACACGTTTCGATAATTCAAGGTGCCTAGCTATTCTGTGTGAAGCACTCACCAATGAAATGCAAGAACTTCTAAGCAGACAACCAAGAAGAAGTGGAAAGTACTGTTTGCTTGTTTGGGGTGGACTATTCTCCTCAACAGACCTGCGGTGTCTAGTGCGCATTCCAAACTGTTTCCGTGCAGAAATCAGCCGCTTTCGTTCACCACGTAACTGAATCAGGTGTTTGCCCAATGTGGGTTCCAATCCAACACAACCAACCAGCCTCAGTGACGCTAAGTTAACCCACTTACCCATTCAGACGTGTGACAACGACATCTGCCGTAACAAAGCCCTAAAAGCGTTGTGAAAACTGTATTTGAGGGTATCAGAACTACAGTCTGCTGGGACGCAAGCAGATACAATGAGCATGCAGTGATTACAGGAGCGCTTACGGGATAACTTCACACACATTGCCAAACGAACCGCACAGAGTCGACCATCAAGGGGCGGGCATTCAAGTAGTGACCCTCTAGATGGATATCTTCAAATGGCACCAACCCTGCCAGCATTTTGTTTTGGTGATGGCAGCAAATAACTGAAAATGCGCGAACACTAGAAATTGCTTTTAAAGTTCATATCGATACCAAAACCTAGAAAGAACTTCGGAAATTATTCAGTGTATCCGAAAAGCACTGGTTCTTAGTCAACCCTCACTGCACGTGTCGAAGTTGGTCACAAGAACGGCGAACAAGCGTCACTCAGCCAGAAACCGATCTGACCATTACTGTCTCGTTTCTTGTTTAAGGCGGGTGAAAATCACCCACCCAGCATTAAAACAAGATGGGAAAGGATTACGTTCATCTTAAAGTGAGGCTAGCGTTTTTACGGTGGCTCGTAGCACTAACCAGTTCGACTATGAAATCACTTGATCAAACTCAATTTAAGCAAGGGAAGACATACTCTACTCTTGGAGCTCAATAGGACTTCGAACTCAGATGGGACCTGGGCAAGCTAACCATCCGCTTCCTTGAGAGTGCTTTGATCAACTAATTACTGGAACCCATCAAGTCGACATAATCAAAACGAGTGCTTCCAGTTCGACAATGTTTAGGCTTCAGCACTGAATTATTTTCATGGTTTGAGTGTGAATGGCCTCGGAGCAATCGGTCGCCACAGCCACGTGCGTAACTGACTGATGGCTCCGTACTGGTAGACGTTATTACATAGTAGTAAGCGAACCGCATTTATCGGAAAAGCCCATTACCTTCATCAAAACTTGAACGCTGCTTTGAAATGAAGACCTAGTTCAGAGAGCTGCGCAACGAAAACAGCTACGACATCCACAAGCCGTTTACAGAACGAGCTCATCCCATCTCCTTCAGACATGTTCCTGTGCGATAAACGATGTAATCTAAAACGATATATCGGAACCATCAAGCATGGAATGCGGTAGAATGGGCATGAAAAACCAAACGGATCCACTATCCCCACACCATACCCAATCTTGCAAACTTTGGTAGGAAACCTGGTCTCACGTTCGCAATACCGTTTCATCAGTTTAGGACTCAAAACAGCCAAACAGGTACGGCACTACACGGGCTACGGTGTCTAACCCCTGTCAAGGTGTACACTCCAACAGGACGACGGTACGGAGCACCTATTGTGTGAATGACCGACCAAGCCGTGGTCTCGTCATCAGAGCAGAAGCGAGTCAAACCGACCGTGACGCAGTGAGGATGCAGTTGGATGTAACAACTCGAAGTTACCCACGACAGCTGTTCTGATCGTCAGATCGCTCGCTCGCTCGCCCATATTTACCATGTGCTGCTGTCGGCAGTATGGAGAAACGACAAATCACGCCCTGACTGGCAACCCTTTGCTATCCTCGAGATCGAAAAACGACCCACATCCAGACATTTTGTCGGCCGAGTGAGCTGTCCGATACGATTCACGGTTAGCCAGATGGGAAAATCAGATGACTTTACCTGAATTTTCCTTTAATTCCAAAAAGGCGTCACGACGGCGTCGGTCTATGTGCGTCGCTTTCGTGCGATTAGCACGTCCTCTGATCATCGTATGTGATACACTCGACCAGTACCCCCGAAACCCGAAAATCAGAAAGCGCGAACGAATCGAAGGATTTATTTATCCAGATTTGAAAAGAAGAATGGCTACTTGTCCAATGTAGAAATAGATGAAGTGCTTCGTCTCGTGCGTTACGTAGCTATAAGGAAAAGTAAAAATAGCGGTCAGGCGTTAGGGGAAGTGAATATAGCCTCTATAGAATCACTAACATAAGTCATCTACGCCGTTCTTGAAGACAGAAGAGCAAGCAGCAGAGTAAGCCTCAAACAGCCGATGGAATACAGAAGTGAGTCACTTCTCCAGGGGTGGGACCCAAATGCATCATCCGGATCATGAGACGTCGCTTAGAGCAACGAATAGGCCAATAATCAGCGGCTGAGTAACCCCTCAGGAAGTCGGGTGGCAATCATGGGCCCCAGTCCCCATACAAGCTGTGCGTGGTTGTACAAAAAACCAGGGACTTGCAAAATGCCTCTGAGAGGCATCAATCCGGTGTTTGCGTTAATCTATACAACTTTAACTAACCAATTTCTTAATTGCGATACTCTGGGAAATATGCAACAAAATGCCAGGTGAACGAAGAATAAACATGTGGTTTCACCTCAAACGACAGCTTACTAAGTCGTGGCCCAAGATTCGAGATCATTGGTTATTTGAGAACAAGGCAGTCGAAACCAGGACTAGCTCAACGACTAACTAGTAGGAATCGGCTGCTACGCTCAGAGAGCTAGTCTGCCAGTTTATTCCAAGACGCACAGTGAGTCGCTCATTCAGATCCCATAAAATGACTACTGACAAACTACTGCTGCATCACAAAACGGACGTAACCAAAGGACGGACTCACCTTCCGAAATTCCGGCCAACTACACAATGCCATGTTGGATTGTATTTCTTGTCGAACTCCTTCTTGATATAAGCTGCGATATCCTTTTCGATGTTGAATTTCTCTAACGCCTGAGTAGCGCATTCCACTGCATCTTGCTGCATTTCCTCAGACATGTCGGCATTCTTGATTACGGCTTTGTGTTCACCCATCGTGTCTGGCGGACCAGATAACCCACACACAAAAGCGCAGGAGCTAAGCGGACGACTAGCCTGAGACAACGGCCTGCTGGACTGCGCTTATATGTAAGATCAATCCGGAAATCTGATTTGCCAATCCGTGACGCGACAGTCACAGTAGCTTGGCTTCATCGAGCTGGCTTTGGTCATTGTGTGTGTTTATGTGCGTAAGTGCGTCGTTGACCACTGGCGCATACGCACGCGCACGTGCACGTGTGTCGGCTTGCACACCACGCTGGTCGCCAGGCCGAAGAACAGTCAGCATAGGATGGCCTCTAGGTGAGGGAGAGAGCAAGAAAAACACGTCGGTTGTGTTAGTGCGGTAGACTGAGGCCCTGCACGTTCACGCAGCACGAGTAGGTGCGAACGAACAATGGCGCAAGGCCCGTGCGTGCGAGTTCACCGTTCACTCGCCAATTTGCATCAACTCCTCTCAGGCTTGGTTGCGAACCCACTCAAACTGTTTGTTTGGTGAGTTGGTGGTGATCTGCCGTACGGCAACCTTAACGGGATATTGCGAAGGTAGCGTTTGGCTAGAGTCGCATGATCAACATCATATCAATTTTCACTCTGTTACTCCAATAGTTCGAAATCAAGGAGCGCAAATATCACTCAGAATGTCGATCGCGGCCAGTCGAAACATGGCTCAAGAGGACGCGAGAACTCCGTTGCTAGAGAATTCCGCTTGGATCTTTAGTTGTACTTTCTTTTGGGGACTAACAGCAGTCATTGATTCAGAGGACTGCAGGAAGACACAATACAATTTCGATAATGGGTTCGCTCCTTTTGTTGTGCTGAGTTAAAAATAGCAATTCGAGTGTCTAGAGCGATTAATTTACGGTCTCGCTACGGTTGTGTAGGTTGCATAGTGTGCACCAATGATCATTCGGATGAGAAGCTCCCGGATGGATCATTTACATACCGATGGCACATACCAGCTGCATTAGTTGAGGAATACGACCCTTAGCCGGAGTGCCAACGAACGCCGTGTCTAGGAAATAAGTACCTGACGACCATTCTGCTTAATGCAGCTCGAAACCACACTGAAATTCGACTGGTACACTCATCTGCATACCAGTTTGGTTTTGACGGGAAACTCACCTGAGATCCAGATGAATCTCTCGTTTAAGATATTCTCCTTCGACTGAATGTGCTGCACCAGGCTACCTCATATTCAGCTGGTACGATGTTTGAGGTATCCCAGTGCACTGCATAGACGCAATACACTACTCATAAGGTTGCCGAAAAGTTTTCAGTAACCTCATGAGTAGTGTATCACATTTACGCACTTAAGCCCCTCCCACCATGTCACAGCACAGTTAGGCGACAAAGCTGCTTTTAAGTCGATCATGACCCAGAAAAATGACGGCTATCAGTCCAATTACTATGATGTGGCGTTTTCAAATAAGTTGAAAGCAGCAGGTTTTACGACCAGCTGTAAACTCGTCCGGGACAAATCATATATCCAGATTTCTGGGTTACGTTAACACACAGCCAAACTAGGTCCATTCTAATCCCCAAATGTTACATGTCAAACAGCATGGTCTCTGTCGGTGTCGTCTAGACGAGCGACCAAAAACTGGGGTTATCGAAATTACGCATGACGATAGCTCTCAAAAAGGTAGCAAACTCTAGAATTTCTGTGCGTTAGAGAAGCTAGGCACATCTAGCAAAATGCACTCATTTGCAAACAAATTGGGTTTTGCGGGAGACTCACCTGGAGCCCAGCTAAATCTCTCGTTTATGATGTTTCCAAGCAACTGCATCTGTTGCACCAGGCTGTCTCATTTTTCAGTTGCTGTGGTATTCGATATATCGTGATACATGTCAGATCGCAATACACTACTCAAAAGGTTGCTGAAAATTCTTCGACAGCCCACGATCGGTTTCGCCCTTTTTGGGGCAATTTGATTTCAAGTAAAACATAAGGTTGACGAAAACTCGGAGACTGAACCTACGTGAAAAGCCCCAAGAAGGGGGAAACTGGTGGTGGGCTGTCGAACGATTTTCAGCAACCTTATGAGTAGTGTATTACGATGTAGACATATCTACCTTTCCGGACCGCTAAACTTGCACATACTATTTCCATAACGTGTTACCACGATACAGTAATGCATACATTAGGAAGTAATGCTGTATTTTTTTCCAAATACATGGGACTTCCAAATTTAAGTTACATTAAGAGGTAGACTTTAAACCTGAGTTCGGTTTTGTCGCATTAATGAGTATCGGTCGCGCCTGACCGTCCCTAGTTTTTTGGCTGATCTTCTGATAGTGCGCTTCGCAATTTGGGATAGTTTCAGATATCAGACGAAACAAATCCATAGCCGAGTTAGCTGTATGCAGTCCACACGTCATCCCCCTCCTACTATCAATTTCACCATTCCCGGCGTTGTGTTTACACGAGAAGCAGCATGAGAGACTTTGCTAACGGAATCCTGGATTAGGCCCAATTTAGACTGTGGTTTCACGAGAGAGATGGATTACTAAAAACGTCTTTACTCTAGGCAAACATTTTGACAAAGTGTTTGATATCCGTTGGAAGTACTCATATTTTCATATTTAAAAATGAGTACAGCTCAAGTAGAGTGATGGAAACTCGGGGACTACGTTTGTTTTGTGAGCCCAAAGGACAGCGAAACAGGTAGTGGGTTGTTGGATAAGTTTCCATTATAAGTAGTCTGTGAGGCGCTTTTTTGCTTGTCACTGCATCAATCCGGTCTTTCGAGCATTCACAATGACATATGGAGCTGCCAACAGAAAGCCAAGGTCAGTCTCGGTTGGTGGACACAAAGTCCTTTGTAGAGACACAATTTAAGGGAGGTAATATGGTTTTCACCCTTGCTCATGACAGTGCGTACAGTCCATAAACCACACGTGTTTAAAGTTGTTGATCCCAACTTGTTTAGTGAATACAGCGAGGCCACTATTGTTTTGGGTAGGATCATCACCTCATAGAACTGACTCTCTCATGGAGGCAAATCGTAAGAAAGTTCTGTTCGGAAAAAACTGTCGTGAGAGGGATTGCTCTGTCGAATGACCTCGAACGGGAAGTTCACTCTGCTGTATGTAAGTTGTCATAGTTCTACTTCCTACTACTGAGTGTCTGTCTTAGAACTAATTGGAAGATCACTGATATTTACATGGGAGATTCGAGATTTCAACCCGTTTTGGTATAGTATCAGACAGTATTGACAGATGTGCGATCACATTCCTTGAACCAAGATACAGCACCATTCTTTAGAACATTTAGGTGCTCATGGATAAAGTTTTTATGGTATACTTTTTGGTTACATGACTACGTTTAATGTACACAGCGACAGAGTAACCACTGTTGAAAGGTGAGGGGTTCCAGGGTATCCGTTCTATTCACGGTTTGAAGTTTCCTGCTGTCTTAAATTGTGTGGTATTGCGAAACGATTCCCGACACTGACTGTAGGTGAGCTCTTGTGTGATCACATATTTAGTAAATTCATGGTCTGTGTGTCACTGTCTGTCAAAATGGACTGACTCACAACAAGAAGTGGTAGATTCTCATGGTGTATAGGAATTCGGCGACCCTGGGGGCGTTATGATTCAAATTGGACTCTCGATGCAATACAGATGAGCATTTAACACTAGAAGTCCTAACCTGTTCAGGAAAAATGGGTGCATGTGTTTCCAAGGTTGCGTCCAAAATCTAGTTTCATTTGAATCGGATAAACGGTTGGTGTTTTGCTTGAGGAAGCCTCACCGTTGTGCTATGCGAGTCCTAATTGGACCTTGAGCGACAGTCTGTGAAAATCATCAGACCAGCCTAAGGGTTAATTCGCCAAAACCCACTCATCCTGAAAGGATCTTGGATAACCAGCCCTGTCGTACATTCGCTCCACAGTGGTCACCGTACTGATCGATCTATGCAACGGTTCACTTGCTCGTGAGCATCGCCTACTATGTTGGGACATTGCCAATTGGCTTGTATGATCAGACTAGATAGAGTCTTTTGGCCTAAAGCATTTGTATTTACACACAGCCTATTGTGAGAGGTCTGGCACCTAGGCTGATACCTTGGATGCACTGGTGTGTCTCAGGCTTCGCCGGATCGATCGTTTTCTGACCAGTCATCAGCATGCGAGAAAGTCTAAAGTAATATATAGTTGTCTTGATGGGTCGGAAATCCAAGTCAACTCAAGGACTGATCAGATACCCAGGGGGGACATGTTTAATTCATTCCGGATTGGAAAGTCGTGCTACTGAAATACGCACTCCGTTGAATACATTCAAGTTGACCATCGATGACGATAAATTGCGCACTGTTTCGCAGCTGCTAGCAGGTGAGTTGACGACTTTCATCGGACTACAATATGCACGTGGGCTTTGAATCAAAATCAGTTCGTTCATTTTTGGCAAAGTGAAGATTTAGGTGTACACATGTTTCTGCACTGTTTCGCAGCTGCTGACGACTTTCATCGGACTACAATATGTACGTGGGCCTTGAATCAAAATCAGTTCGTTTATTTTTGGTAAAGTGAAGATTTAGGTGTACACATGTTTCTAGGAAGGGTGTCAACAGATAGATTTTTTTCCTGATCATATTACATTTTCGTTTCGATGATGTGAATATACGTTTTGTTCGCAACTTAGTTGGACTCATCTGCTCTTATTTGGGCGGGATTCGAGCTGTTTAGTTACCTGACTCCTGTCTGACTATTGATACGCAGCTCATACTGTTGAAGTCCCATTGTCAGTTGATCATTTCGATGCCCAATAAACCGAATCAATTTAGCACTCACATTTTTTTTTCAATTTTGACGTCCGCTTCACGCTCGTTTGAACAGCCCTTCTCGAGTCCGGGCTCAATTGTTTTGGTGTGTCCATACCAAAGGGGGGAAGGAAAACTGGCCTCGAGTTTCCCTCTTATTAGAGCTCACTAGCAATTTACGTGTTTGGTTGTGCCGAGGATTAAACTCCGGACATCTGATATGCGAGGAAAGCGTATTACCAATAATTCACCAGCACACACTAGACGTCTGAGCAGGCGAACTTGTCCATGCTTGATCGATGTGATTGGTTTACCCGAACGAATCTGGCA